ACAAGGTTGTTTCAATATGTTACATTTAAAATTCTGCGTTCTATGGTAACCATGGCAACCAATGTCGAGGGTACCAAGGGCAGTCAAAAAGAAGAAAGCAAATATTATGATGTTTTCTTTCTTAATGGTTTTATACTTTGGAAATACCACCATATATTGTTACATTTAACTGGCCCGTAGCCAGGATTTGCCAAGGAGGGAGGGGGTCACAAAATTTCCAGGAGGGGGTTAACTTTTGACAATTTTGTCAAACTGCATTCTTGAACATTCTTATTTTCTCAAGATGTTTATTTTAGGTGTCCTATATTTTTGCTATTATACAACACATTTTGGTGATGTTTAAGCTGGTCCACATATGTGTCTAAATGCTTGTTACATCACTCAAAGATATGCTAGGCAGATAAATAGGTCAGTATTACATAATCATGAAATGAATAAGTCTGAAAATACAATTGGTCAAGCATGCACTGTATCAGATTTCTATGCTTCCATTTCATCAATTTGGTTGGTGTGGAAACATCTGCCATTTTGAAAATTTTGGAAAAAAATTCAAAATTTCCCCACTTTTCCATCTCAATTTTTCAACTGGGTTTTGGACAGTATACATCACAGAGGAACTTATCGTGTCACTTGTCTATTGTGATGTCATAGAGACAATTAGAAAAATTGAAGAATTTGAAGAAAAATAGCCACCCAAAGACACTTACACCTGCTAATTGCCACTTTACAAAGAGTTTATACAAGCAAGAAAACTATTTGGAAAAACGTAATTTCGGGTTGAACATGGTACCCACCACTCTGGTTACCATAGCAACCATATCTCAAGAACCAATCAAAATTGAGGTCGCAATTTTTACCATATTATGTATAAATATATAACATAATTATATGTGTACCAAGTTTCATTGCAAAAGTCCTATTTTCTTTGAAGTTATGGCATCAACTGCAAAACCTTTTGAACCACCTAAGTACTAAAACCTGCTTGAAACTGAAAAACATTGCATGCTCTATTCCACACAATTTAGAGGCTTTTGAAATTCGCAGTAACAATGAATAAGTGCCTGAATATAATCATTGCATAGAAAACACTTCATAAAGTGTTTATCAGATGTATTGAGTTGACCAAAATACTCCTTTGTTTACTATATACTGGACTACATACTGGCACCCTTACATATATGTTACAGTACATATTGTAGAATTAGCCCATAAGAGCTTTGCAAAATCACATCTTATACAATCAACGTAAAAGACGGCTTGCCCAACCTTACAGGCAAACTATTATAGGCAAATTTGAAGATAAGACTGATATTGTCACAGTGAATTATGATAATAAGTAAATAATATTTTTGTAATATTTTGCACCGGTATAACCAGTCCCAGTAGAATAAAACACAGGGTTACCCTAAATTGTAGAAACATGAATATGTTTCGTATAATTAATCAATTCATGTATCCCAAGGATTTCACCTGTTCCCTTCCTGCCCAAACCTTATTTTATTTTTGATTTCTTACAATAAAGTAAACTACTCTTTTTGACAACTTTTTTTTTATTTCCACATAATATTGACGTGAGAACTCAAATGATCAATGGGAAAACAATGCTAAACTTGCACACTGAAATATGTATTCCAGCAGGCCTAGGAAAATATGGCTAGAAATAGATGCTACATGTCTTAGGTGGACAAACTATTCCCCCTGAAAAGTATTTTAAGGGTCAGATCACTAAATTCATGATTGTGTTGAAAAGCTGTTGAAAATGATTGTGTTGAAGAATTCATATTGCTTATTACGAGTGGTTATTTAGCATGTTACTGAATATTTCATCAAGTGACCTAAACTACAACAGCTAGAATAAGCATATCAAAATATTATAATTCAGTATGATTCGCAGAAGGGGATTATACAGTTATAAGGGATTAGCAATTTATTTATTTTCTTACAATTTAGCTCAATTCTTGAATTTGAAGATCTATTGCCATATTGTTTAAAATGCATTATAATCGATCGATCTGATGGTAAGAACTAGTGTGTGATATGATCGATTTTACCTTTTTGTCGTCATTGCTGAGGAATACAATGATACCATTCCAATTAATGATAACTCACTTATTGTATTATTTGTGCTTGATACACATGCTGGAAGATATTCTTTTAAAATTAGTAAACCATTACCAAAACTATGGTTACCCTGTAGTAGTGAGAGGCACATTACAAATGAATATCACCCCCTTCAATCTATTTTTACAGGTTTTCATGATTATTTCACATTTTTCTATATTTTGCGTAACCAGGATGGTGAATTTTCTTCATTTTTCTTCAAATATTTCGCCTTACCAATATTTATTACATCTGTCAATTTCAAGAAAATAGCGCCGCTACGATTGAAAATAATTCAAATTGTGTCGTTTTTCCCATTGAGCTCCATTATAAAAATGGAATTTTCAAACTTAATATTTTAAAATTCTACGTGGTGAAAAGTTGCATATTGAGTAGTTAGTTAATGTTATGGTGTTAAAAATTCAAAACAAAAAGGAATAAAGAAAACATGCCACAGAGAAGTCTCAATAGAGTCTCTTTAATTCTGCATTGGGATAATGCACCTTGCCATGCAGCAAATTTAACACAGAAGTAATCGGACAGCATGGGGATCAAACAACTAACCAAACTGGGAATGTCCCCTAACTCAGCAGACAAGGCTCTTGAAGACTTTTATTTCTTCGGGGACTTAAAAATCTGAACTCTGGGGAGAATTCCTCAAGACAGAAGAAGATCTGAAAAAGATGGTACTCGACAGAGCGTGTGTGACGAGTTAAGGTGGCTTCAAAGATGTGTTCATGGATTGGATTAAATGTCACTTAAAATGTGTTGAATATAATGACAAATATATAAAACACCTAAAATGAACATATGAGAAAATAAGGATGCACAATAATGCATGGAATGTAACAAAATATGGTGGTATTTCTTAAGTATAAAACCATTAAGAAAGAAAACATTACAATATTTTCTTTCTTTTTTACCGCTCTGGGTACCCTCAACATGGGTTTCCATGGTTACCATAGAACGCAGAATATTAAATGTAACGTGGTGATATTTATTTTGTGTATGAATAATTATTAAATCAACATTTTGTGAGAAAATGAGTCAGATTCATTAATGTTTACAAAAATTTAATGATCACCCTGAATATGTTGGAAGCAATGTTTTATAAAAGCATAACAATATCATTTATACGAGTATACGAAACTTCAGGATATAATGTATAACACTTCAATTGCAATATACACACAATTTTTCTCATTTAAACTTGTACCTTTAAACTTTATTTTTTAGACGCTAGCGGATTACTAGTGTCAACGCGCCTGCATAATAAGTTCATATGAAATCAACACATATGGGAGAAATAAAGATACATCATTCATACAAACATATCAAGAAAGTCAGAGCATATAGTGCATTACTTAATGTATATGTTTGTTACCGTTAGTTTTGGTTGACTGGATCAAAAGTGTCACATGTAGTGTACGGGAAGGGACATTATTGAGCCGAAACCACAATTCATCAAGTGTGCTGAGGACATCAGGGGTGTATGTTTTCTGACTTATGTAGAGGTATAACTCTCTTAACAACGTTCCTGTAGCGTTCCTATCTCTTATTTGTAATCTATTCCAGCTACTAGTTGACCAGAACCCAACGGCTGTTATGTTTTTGAAAGATGCAAGAATGTTCCAGCCTTTGTCAGTTTTAAAACTCTGAAAAGGAAACGACAGTTGACGATTGTCCATTTCATAAAAAAAATTGGTAATTAATTAAAAACACCATCTTATGGTAGGCTTACGGACAACTCATCCCCTAGACAACTTATCCCAGGACAACTCCTCCCCTAGACAACTCATCTCCTGGACAACTCATCCCCTGAACATCTCATCCCCTGGACATCTCATCCCCCTCTCAATGTTAACATAATATTGAAATTGTATAATATATAGTACTATATATTTTATATAAAAGTAAAATTAAAGGTAAATATTTACAAAACAAATTACATATTATTGGTTGACTATCTCCTTGACAATACCATAGAAGTAACATGGTATATCATAGCATGGGGTTTCAATTAGAAAGCCCATGATCATAATTATTCAAACAACTTTCCAGATTTCCCCAGATTTACAAGTATTTGTTCACTTGTACTCAGGAGACAACAGAGTCGTCGCTTTAATACTTTACTATTGTTATGTAAATGGAAAGAGTTGGATGTGCAGAATATTTTTAAGGTTATGTTTAAGGAACAAAAGTGAGGTATTAAATCGAGGATCGTGTTGTCTTCTGAACTATTTGTTCGCACACATGAACATTTTCTTAGACATATGATATTCTGCCTACAACTGGATGAATAAGGAAAAAACAAAAATCGTACCTTTGAGGCATTTTGTTACCGAAACAATCTGTTTACAACATTATCGAGTGGAGTGCCAGTGCTCATGTAATATATGATTTTGAAACTTAAAACTGATCATGATAACCAAGACATTTAAAAATCATTTGAATAATATATGAATTAACAATATTATATTAAATTACTCAAACATGCCAAAGGATGAGTCGTCCAGGGGATGAGTTGTCCAGAGGATGAGTTGTCTAAGGGATGAGTTGTCAAGGGGATGAGTTATCCAGGGGATGAGTTGTCCAGGGAATGAGTTGTCTAGGGGATGAGTTGTCCTGGGATGAGTTGTCTAGGGGATGAGTTGTCCGGTTACCTTATGGTACAACTTATCTTGAAAATTCTTATCTAAGGACGTCAAATTAGAAGTTGGCCAAATCCTTAACCTAAAGGCACTTTGCTTAAAGTGACATTGAAAATCTCATTTTGTACAGAGATCCAGTTCAACGATTTTAGTATTCAATCATCATGAACATATTTACATAACAATGGTTAAGACAACCAAGGGGTGCATGGCTTATCAAAGGCTAACGTATTTATATTATAAAAGAATCTTTCCCTGCTCAGTGGGGGATTTTCTGTTAACATAGGATGAAACATTAAAATATGGTTTACTTGAATACATCCACTTCTCATGTCAGTGTGAGTTGTATCTATGATCACTTCTACTGCTTCTCCTGCAGACAATTCTGTAGTTTCCACTCCCGGTGTACAAAACATCATTTTTCTTTGAGGAGATGGTTCCGGAAGTCGAATATAGGTGGCGCCAGTGTCGCCATTATCGGATGCCTCTACACGCTCTATGTTCACTTGTCCAGTGTATGTTTCAACGTTGATGCCACTTAGGGTGTTGTTGACGAAGTTCGAATCGGTGATATTGATTGGGTGACGCATGCGTAGTATGCTCAATCCGATGCCGGGAGATTCTGTGATTGCGACATGTCGTAAAACTAGTGCAGTTTGATATTGATCGATGGTTAGTTGACAACGGCGTATATTTGTATATGTTGCCAAAAGTGTACTCCGTTGATGTAGGTGTATTCCGCAAGAATCAGTTCCTTGAAATTAAGAAAACATATAAATGTATTTGACATACTAACCCGATCACATTTTCAGAATCATAAAGGTGGTTTAAAGGACTGATTTTCAAATGTATGTTTAAGAACTGTTAAAGGACAGATTTTATATTAAAACATTTTGCTATTGGAAGGATTAAAAAATAGGAAGGTAGGGTATCCTCCCTGACACAGTACCAGTGGACATCGGATTTTAATTGAATTCTTCAAGATCTCTGATTCTGAATTGTCTTGGTAATGGTTTTGCAAGGTATATTGGGACATAAAAAGTTTCAGTCAGATGTCCAAAAATAAGCGAATATATTCTTTTATCATGTCTACTGTTTTTTTAAGAATATACAAAATAACATTTCAAAAAGAAACCTTAATACTCGGTATCACGTCAAGCAAGATTCAAGAAAACCTGTTATATTTAATTATTTACTCATATACATGTTTGTGGAATTACATACAAATAGTAGAAAAGAAATAAAGTCGTGACCATTAAAAAAGAGAATGAACCGTTTAGTCCCTTTTTGTAAACCCAAAAACGTAAAAACAGCAGTGCATTTCAAGTATTTCAACCGTCAATGTTTTATTATCATATTAGATTTACAATATTTATACAAAGTATATGAATATTTCATCAAACCAGATAAAGGTAAAATCATTTTATCAATACATATTCATGTTAATGTCCAGTAAAATTGTGTTTCTTCTTATCGTATAGAATTTTCTATGTAACTTCAAACTATATTTTCAAATACACTATCCTCAGATAGAAATTTCTATACAAAAGACTCCGTTGACTTTTCGTATAGAAATTTCTATGCGGATGGGGCTGGAAATATTAATTTTGTTATTGATGAACATTTGGTTATCGGTATAGAAATTTCTCTACCGATTAAGCAGAAGATTTAAAACTGAATACCTCTATAGAAATTTCTATGTGAAGGCCGTCGGAAAATACTAATTCTGTTACCAGAAAAACATTTCTCCCCGTATAGAAATTTCTATGCCTTTCTAATTAAAACAAGTGTTCGTATAGAAATTTCTATGCAGGTGTAAATATAAATTTTGGTTGCCGGTATAGAAATTTCTATAGGGAAAAGATCGATAAATAAAAATGCTGTATAGAAATTTCTATGCGGCGCAGAAAAATAATTTTGCTTGATGGCCAATATAGAAAGTTCTATATGGTCAAAAAATGCATGTATAGATATAAAAATCCTGTATAGAAATGTCTATGCGGGTGTAGCACATTTTAATTCACTTATTCATTTAAATATATGATAACCACACATGCACAAAAACGTATGCAACATGTTTACTTCATAATTTTCCTCACAATGTTTTTTGTTCACGGTGACGGCTCCTGGTGAACAATATGGACGTTGGAATGTGTGCTCTTTTCGGCTATGCCAGAGTAACTGTCTATCAGTAATCTTTAATATTCATTATGAACCGCCATTACTACCTCCCGTCGTTATGACGTCACACATTGCACGTATTACCAGGGATTTTGTTCGCGAATATACCCCGGGTGAAATGTTGACTTTGTTTACAGTTTATAGAAGGCGTGAATACAGTCATGTTCGAATGAATTATATAACCACGCACCCTCTGCATATATCTTTACATAATTGATGGCAGCTTCTTGTTAGAAAGAGATCTGAGTTTTAAATGACTCTACCTGTTTACAGCACACAATAGGTATCAGGTATGAAGTACAAGACTTGTAGGATAAATCCAGTGGTTACTCGAGTCTCTTGCCAATTCTTGGAATGTCATGGAATAGGGCAACACAATAGTTCACTTAATTATTCACACAGATAAATATTGTCGGGTCTTGTTTACCTGTCTATATTACGCAACGGTTGGTCTACTCAAGTGGCGAATGAGGCTGCAATGACTCCATCTCTTTTTATCTCTTTTCTACCTGGAAGCAAAGTCAATTCTTCTCTAGTAGAATTACATAGCTAAACAAACACCAATGCCATTAAGGGGTACCCCTTAAGGTAGGCAAATAAGGTCAGTTTCATCATTCAGACATTATTAAAAGGTGTACAAAGCGAATGGCATTCTCTAAATCAAAAATCATTCGATTGGGGTAGGAAAAGCGAATAAGTTTCTTTCAATCGAGCATCATTTGATACTAAGATGGTTCCATTAGCCCATCCATAAAGTATCAAGCTTGGTCTTAAAAATTCTTTAAATACATGATTGATGGTAATACTTTTGTATTTGTTTGAACCATGGGCTTTCAACTAATTGAAAGCCCATGTTTGAACATAACTCACTGCTTGCGTATGCGACACATTAATTTTGCTTTTTTATCAAAAGATAAATTCTCAATCAAATGATATAGGCTTAGTTTTCGTATTTTGTATTTTGATGAAAGTCCTAAAATGTGGTCTCGTACTCTCATACTTGGTTATACCATATAGAGTAGGTAGTATTCGATACGGTATTTAGTTCTGGAGATGATACCAAGCGTTCAAAACATGTGTGGTCATGTGAAAGATATGCATCTAATATGAATGAATTTTCCCTTCTTGATAAATGTTGAAGGCGTTCTGTGAATCAACCACAACATTCATTTATTAAATCATATATTGCATTTGAGGTTCATCCTACAATGAAATTATTTTGTTGAAATTATTTTGATTCTTTTATTTCCTTTCTCTTTTCACCATAATTTGATTATTAATGTTAAATGTATTTGTAAGGGCTGACTCTTAAAGGGGGTGGCTGAGTATTTAAAGCCAGATTCAGTTAGAAATGGAGTCATTAGTAAACCATTAAATTTGAAAATAACTGAAACTGCTTGCTCTGACAATAAATTAGCCTTTTCCTATAGAATTAATGATCAGATTGCTACATAATTTGTCTCATTTGTGTATGAATATACAATCTTCAAATAAATGTATTTATTTCAATCAGAGTTATCTTGAAAACACATTAAATCTTCATTTTTTAAACTGCTAATGGGAGGAGTTAACAACTCAAAGTACAGCCAATCGGTATTGCAGAAATTAGTCACATGATACATATAAACAAAGGGATATTGCTGAGTGTAAATAGAGAACAATGTTTTCTACTTACCAAACATGTGTAGTATTCATCAATTCAAAAACTTAATCCAACAATGCCAATGAGTATATATTCCTTTGATTTTAAATGATATTGTTTTCTTTTTTTCATATAAGGTCATTTGCTTGAGTTTATTGATAATCCTTGAATATGTTCCGTGTTTTGTTTTATACAATATGTTGGTGCTAATAATTGTTGACCCTTTCTCAACATTGTGTATCAAATGCATTTGACAATGTATAAGTCACTAAACTGGTATTGGTTAGTTTGCATTTTAATCCCACCAAGCTTGTTATAAAGTCTCTGCTTTATAAATCATCTCCAAGATGTTCTTCTTCGAATAATAACTTTCTGTTTACTTTTATTTGCTAGTGCTTGAGACATGATGTAGTTGATTTGAGAACTGACATATGAAAGTAAAGGGAAGTAGAGACATCCCCTTATATAATTGAATTGACCATTTTAACATTATGAAGATGACTCAAATATTCTCATTGAAAATAAGTTCACAATTTCAAATTGTATGGTTTATGAGTGATTATGGGTTAGAGACCAGAACATCCTGGGTTTGGTGTCCCCGAGAAGAATATCTTTCAACAACCCCACTGTATTACCCAACTTTTCCTTATTTTGAACATTTATCATGGTTCTGGTTGTCCTGTGTTTGCTTTCATTTCTCTGGATGAAAGATACATTACATTTCCAGACATTACCCTTGATTGGGGATTGTCGGAAACTTGTCGGTATCTCAGGATTGGTTCATACCATGATCTATAATTTATTTGGCAAATCTTTGAGAAGTTCCCTATCAACTTCTACTGAACTATCCTGAACCAATTGCTAATGACACTCTTCAAGTAGATCCTGATTCTTTAGACATTCAAAGTGGTCATTAGTAAAATTCAGCTCATCATTTATGGTAGAATAAGAAGATAACAAATTATGGACTTCTTGAAATTATTTGGATAATTAAAAGAATAAAGAAAACTTTATCTCAGATGGCTATCTGTAGATAATTATATTGGTTAAACTAACACCCTATTGTCCTTCATAAACAAGCACCCTACAAGATACAAAACCCCGCCAAATATACCATGTGCATAGCTCATTATGTTCAGTAAATACTACAGTTATCCATATAAGGAAAGTGAGCCCATCAGTGATAGGCTAATCCTTAATGTTTAATTATGTAATTTTTATCAGCATCTAATTTCCTTAATGGGCTGCAGGGGGGTACTCGAGCACGGTCTTTAAGACAAATCTATAAATAAGTATATCGCATGTGATGACACCATTGAACTTGTTAATCATACAATCTAAATACTGTGTAATATTTGGAACATTACCACACTTGAGGATTGATTTAACACAATAAATTTATAATTTCTGAATTGAAGTATTCATTTTAATCATGGAAAACTTTCTCCATGAGAAAGCTTTATATTTATCTACAACTGTACATACAAAATATTAACAAAACATGACAAATTAGATGATATACTTTAAAATGACAATTTCACTAATCTACCATTCTATTTTACTATTATCTTACTGGTTTCATTTTTTCTAATAGTGTCAATCTTTAGTTTCATCCTTTTGTGTAAAAAAATATATTTAAATTCAAAATCGTTTCTGCTCATAGGCAATTCAGGGGTCAACATCATTCGCAAAGCCGTCGCTGATTGTAATGTTGTATTTTTAAATGTATGTGTCTCTTTTTCTGAACCACTTTCCTGCGTTTGTGAGTTCATTTCTCTTTCGTTCCCCAAACAATTGTTATAATTTTCCAACATAAAATAGATCAGTATACATGTATATATATATGCTTGTAATCGATGGGATTTATATTATCACTGCTTATTTAATGTGTTTGACAACTGACAACAAAATCATTCGAAATTAGTTGAGAAT